CCTTCTATGCAAAGATGAATGGACACTTCACAAATGCACAGCACAACACCCTCAACTTTACCTATCCTGATGTCTTCTACAATCTCCCCTATATTGAACAATGTGTTCAACATGTCTCTGGAATGAAGCCCATCACTTATGACAATTTCTGTGGGGCATACATAGGTGCCCTCGCCGAACTCAGGTGTTGTCCACACTGCAGTGAACTGAGGTTCAAGATGAATGGCAAGCCTGCACAGCCATATCATTATCTACCAATCATCTCAGCTTCAAGCTCAATATGCTAATGTGGAAAGAGCAACTACCCTTTCTTCATATTGAGCCCAGCAAAATCCCCACTCACCTGAGATGATGGACATCTTCCAGGGAAGGATGGATTGCAAACTGTGCAAATGCTATATTTCTGTCAATGGGAAGACCTTGAAGATGAAATATTTTGATGCACCACAAGACATAGCCTTAGGTTTGTCAACCAATGGTTTTGCCCCTTTCAAAGGCCCAAGAACAACTGTGTGGCCAACAATCTTGATCAACTACAACCTGCCACCACAAGACAGGACACATATAAAGAACTTGCTTTGAATTGGTTGCATCCCAGGACCCAAGATGGTCAAAGATCTTGATTCATTCTACTTCCCCTTGGCAGAAGAGCTCATTCTCCTGGCCAAAAGCATGAGGACCTATGATGCCTTGAAGCATGAGTTCTTTACCTTGTGAGCACACCTGATCATGCTCTTCAGGGATATGCCAGCAGTCACCAAGCTGATGCATATGAAGGGACATGCCAGAAACCAGCCATGCAGATTTTGCAATATCAGTTCAGTCCATGCAAATGGGCACAAAGGCATACCTCTCGACCAACAATCCTTTTGCTCCTTTTCATCTACAGCTCTGGCCCAGTATGATCCACTGAATCTCCCTCTTTGCTTGCACAACTCAATTCTCCATGAGGCCAAATAAGTCATGCAGGCTGAGAGCCATGCTGAAGCAGAGCATTGTGCAAAGGCATCTGGAATTAATGGAATCAGCATCTGGCAACACTTCAGGAGCATCATCTGGCCAACCTTGTTCCCTCTTGACTTCATGCACCTTGTTTTTGAGAATGTTGTACCCCTCCTCCTTGATCTTTGGCTTGGTGTGAGCAAACACTGTGTTGAGGGGGATGCATTCACCTTACTGCATGCAGTTTGGACCCACATTGCTGAGCAAGTTGCCAAAAGTGGGAACACCATTCCTGGTGCCTTTGGCCAACATGTCCCACATCTCCTGAACAAATGGCATGAGCTCACAGCAGAAGCATATATGCTATGGATTACCCAATTGGCACCTGTCATCCTCTTGTGGCAGTTCACCAATGAAGTATATTACCACCACTTGGTTGAATTGTCTCATTTTGTCAATGACTGCCTTGGTTTTTCCTATCACACTGGCTTCACAACCATGCTCCACAAGTGTTTGTCTGAGTGGGTTCTTCAATACAAGCAACTGTACTACCAGGGCAGTACAGATCATGTCAGCCTATGCCCAGTCACAGTTCATTCACTGCTGCACTTAGCAGATTGCATGGAATGGACTGGTCCACTTTGGACAACATGGGCATTTCCTATGGAGCAAGTTTGCAGTCAGCTACAACGTGCAGTGACAGGACATTTGAATCCTTACCCTGGAATTGACTGACACATCCTCCAACTCTGCCAGTGGGACATACTGAAGCTGAAGTACAAGCTGCATGGAATCAAATATGATCCTAGGAGGGAGGTAGATGAATTGCATCATATGATGGCACCAAAGTCTGAGCTGGAACTCAGCAAGGCCCTGGAAGAGAAGCTGGTCACATACCTCTCTGCTGTGCTTCATGTCAGAAAAACAGAGGCAAAGGATCCACTTCCAAAATGTGTCACACAATGGGGCAAGTTGCAACTCTCTTGCAAGGGAGATACTGTGCATGCTGCTCAGGGACTGCACACATGCCATAGCAGAGACATGACCTATGTATGGGTGAGTACCATTTTGTAGAATAGAATGATGTATGACTGACCTGTCTAGTTTGAGTACAAATCACCCAAGCATCCATCACCGTTCATCCTGTATGGCCAACTTCAGCATGTGATTGATTTGCCAATTCTTGAGCTTGCATTCATAAAGTTCTGCAAGGCAGATACTGAAGCCCCACCATATGGCACAGCTCTGGCATTCACAAGGTTGACAGCAATGCAAGTGCTTGACATCTCAGCCATCAAAGCTGTGGTGGGCTGCGTACAGGATAACCAAGGTCACTGGTGTATCATAGATTGCAAGCCACCTTTTGCAGAAACAGAGTAAGGCCTTCAAGCTCAATCGCATGGGGAAGCAGGTAGGATGAGGGGTGAGGGGTGGGGGAAATGGGGCAGGGATGCATTGAGGGATGGGATAGTATTACATATCATATGGATCAGTCCACAGGGCAATGCAGAGAATGATACATATATATTGGCTGGTTACATTACTTGTGGGGGAGAATATCACAATCCTCAAGCTCTTGCTCTTTCTCCAGACAGTTTGCTTGCCTTCTGGCCTTTTGCTTGGCTGACCACTGCGTCAATGAGATAGTCTGCTTCGGCAGCACCACTGCAGCTGTGACACCTGAGAGAGATAACTGCGCAGCCACCATCTCTGTGCCACGAGGGGGGCTGTTGGATGT